AACTGTCACCTTGGAGTACAAAAAGTACAAAGCTCTCTCTCTTGACTGTTGGGAATGATGCAAAAGTTTGGCAAATTATGCTTTAGCATATAATGTTTAAAACAAAAAGTATCCTGCAATGAAAGTTTGAGGGTTGCCAAGGAATAAAAGAGCAACACAGATGAAGCCAACAATTAAACCAATTCCCATAATAGGGAACAATTTTGTGTTGCGAAATGTCATCATGTATGAACCTCTGATTAATGACACATCATGGAAATGGATTCAAGGGTGAAAGTCTCTGCGTTGCTGGATTAAAAACAACTGGTTATAAATATGAACAATGAAACGAAATAACCAGTTACATGAAAAAAAAATCTCCTGAGCTTATTAACCGCATCAATGGTTTACATTGGTATTAAAGGCAACAGTGGTATAGATTAAAAAGAGACAATATCGTTTAAAGAAGCCTTGGCTTCCACATATAACAATGGTTTGTATTGTTTACTCTGTTGAAGATAATTAACACCTTGATAGAGATATAGAGTAGACAATATAACTCGTCAGGGACTCATGCACGCCTACACATATACATACACACTCACCCTTTCTCTCTTACACACACACAGTACTCTAAACATACAATACGCTCGCATACACACACATGCACCGGGGTTGAGAGAGCATAATATTGTACCTTTGCCGAAACAACCACCGGCTTGCGTAGTTTTCATATCTTTCGCCCACAGAAAGAATAGATATATTTTTGGTTTTCGGTACCTGCCTTGGCTTGAAAACATGAACAACAGAGTCACACTAGATATTTGCTACAATAAAAACTAGTTTTTAGTTTTAGTAGAGGTGCACGCAACTGCATAAGGTCACATGAACGCCAGAAGATTAGAGGTGTTACAAGAGAGTAACAAACATAAAAAAGAAGAAGGGGAGATAAGGACGATAGATGTTAGATAGGAAAGAAGAAACAAACCACACCAGAGCACCCGCTAATCACCCACATAAAAACTAGTATGCAACTAGACCTGCCAAGTACTCCTATAAAATCGAAGCCTATTATTTTTACTTCTATGGAAGAACTTTGATTGAATTTGCATAAAATCAAATTTTTCCTTGAAAGCCGCTTCCATCAGTTGTAAGCAACTTATCATAAATGAAAAGCAAAGTCCCCAGGTTTATTTTAAAAATTAGCGTGAACTATTGTAAGTAACATGAAAAATGCACATTTCTGTTCGCACCTATTTGTGTGTATTTGTAATACACATTTATTTGCTACCACCAATTTGTAACATAATCTGACTCAACTGGGGTTCCGGAGACTGGTTCTTACACCAAAACTTTGACTTTTTTAGGGAGGATACTGAGTAACTTCTATCTAGTTTTGGTCATGGAGGGGTTGGCAGGTCTATGCAACCCTTTTGTTTGTTTGTTTTTGTAAAGTGTTTTACGGCGCTCGCAACTGCATAAGGTCATTATATGAGCGCACGGGATACACCTAATATTTTCAGTTGGTAGGAAATTTGGAATTTTGCCCGGGTGGTGGCCGAAGCCTACTCTTATCGATTTTAGACCACCAAGGGATCTTTAACGTGCGCAACTTGCACATGGGCCCTCCGAGATTTTTTGCCCTTGTACGAGAAGGCTAGGTGTAGATCTTTCCTACCAGAAGATCAGGGGTGTGGCAGAAAGACAGCAGTAAGGAGGAGCCAAGGAGTAGCAGTAGAAAGGCTGCAGAAAGAGTCAGGAGCCCAGAGGAGGGGGCAAAGGAGGCGTAGGGGTGGGGGCAGAAAGTGGAAATGAAAACAGACAACAGAACATTGTTAGAGAGCAGGAAAGGAGGTGAAAGAAGACAATTTTTAGAGAAGAAAATTTTTTCGGTCGCTACCCGGAATCGAACCCGGGACCTTTGAATGAGAGGCCAACACCTTAACCTCTAGGCCACGAGAGCCCCCTGCAACCCTTTGATGCAAAAGAGCAAAAAAGAAAACAAAGAAAAGACTAACCAACAAGTAGTTATGGTGAAAACATTACTATAGCAAACAAAGAAGATTTGGCATCTGATGTCAATATGGTGTTCAAAAGGAGGACAAATCATGATATATGAAAAATCGCCTTACATTTTTTTGTGAAAAGGTATACATTCGATGAGTCCTAGAAAAAAATATTTTCCTCATTGTTGTCCTTCAACCCTCAAATTATTACACATTTAGAGGATCTGAATTGTGGCACAAAGCACAGGAATGATAACTTTAACATTATTTCCAGCTGGAAAATGTGGTTTGCAATGTAATTTCCTTCTCATTCTCAGCAGCACAGAGGAAATTTTGCAGTCAAGGTACACATAGTTTTATAAAAATATAAAATTATACTTTAAACAGTAATTTTCGAATAAATAAGTTTAGAAAGATAAGTGTGACCAGACCCAATCCCTTCCTCAACTCAACAGTCAACTCCTCATCACCTCCCCCTCAAATTAAATATATTTAATCAATTACTTATATATATATATATATATATATATATATATATATATATATTATTTTGGGGGTCTAAAAGAAGGCAACAACAGAACCTGATTTATAAACCAACTGATCAACTACCCCTAAAAATACCCTGCAAGTGAGTACATTGTACTGAAACTAGTCCATCAGCATTTCGCTCGGTGTATACAAAATCTGAAAATACATCTGAGTAACAAAATAATACATAATATCATCATACTCTTAGAAAAAGCAAAAGAAGATTTTACACTTTTGTGACGCATAGGTGGGCAAATCTGTATGAAAAAAATGAGTATGTAACAAGTAAAACAGACACTTATCTTGATATAAAAAGAAAGACAAAAAAACAAAAATACGTAACTAACTGGGTTTTAAAAAACATGGATTTTAGCCCTACCATCTTATGGTGCTGAATATTTTCAGGAACCCAGAGGACTAAAAAGCTTCCAAACACAGGTTTTCACTTCTCTAGCAGGATGCCATCTAAAATATTATGCTCATGTACTAATATTCACAAAGTCACTCAGTTTCTCTCAGACAGAGAAACTGCACATACAACACACACACACACAAACAGACACACACACACACACACTCCCACACACACACACATATACATCGCTGCTGCTATTCCATGTGAAATATAATGCAGCACGCTCTAACTCAATATACAGACAGAAAACAGTCATCAAAATCTTGTGTAAATTCTATGATGATAATGACTTTTGAAGTACTGTATGTGTATCTTAAAGCTTGAATAAACAGAGCTTCGGAACATTTGTGTGGAGGCCTGAGAAAACCAAAGATCAGTTGCACTGACCAAAATTGAGTTATATGGTCCAACCCTAGCCCCCCCCCCCCGCCTAAAAAAAAAATCCCCAAAACTTTGGATTAAGCTAAAAAAAAAAAGAAAACAGTGAACAAAGCAACATCTTTTCCTTCAATTTAAATAAAAGGTTTTCAACAGATAATGTTTTTAAATGCGTTACTGCTGGTAAAATTTCTTCTTGCCCTTCCTCTTACCCAGTATAAAGCAAAGATTCCACTCATCATATCACATCTACTTTCCCAGTGACAACACACTAGTAGAATTGAACATTTTTAGCCAAGAGTATTGTATATTGTTGGAAAGGAAAGAGAAATAAAAAGTAGTCAAGAAAATCAACTTAAAATGCTCTTACAGTTTGTACATAAAAAAATTTATACTAACCGTTCAGCTGTTTTCCTCTGTTTTGTCATTCATGGGGTTGTTGACTTAAAACAAATTTACATCCATGAATTATAACACATTTTATTTTCTTCACAACTTTTAAAGTTTTCCTATGCCACAATACAATTGCCAATACGACTGAAACTGATGAAAAGTAAGTGGGATTAAACAGTAACAAAAAAAAAACTCCAACTGATTCCTTTCCAGGCCATTTGTGATGTGAACTTTCTACAGATAAGACAGCCCAATCACGACATACATTTTGTCCGTACAACATTATCTGAATACAAACAAGCAACAGCAAAGTTCTTAAAATAAAAATGAGAGCGGACTGCTGTTTTAAATCCTTCACAAAGAAATAAGATTGTTTGATACCTACAGTGAAACTATAGACAAATGCACAAAGCAAAAATGGCATCATCATAAAACAAGCAAAAAAGAAAAACAGACATGAAATCAACCAGTTAAGCAGTGACACTACATCTTCATCAGAAATATTATCTGCAACAAAATTATTGGCCTGAATAATTGGTTATTATGGCAGAAATATAAAAACATTATAACATTTAGTTTTGAGACCTGATAATTGAAATATTATAAAGTGTAAGATGCTTGCATAATATATATACACAAAAAATATTCATGTTCAAGCAACAATAGAATAACATCAATAATTTTGTCATGGAAATTCGAAAAAAAACCCATTCTTGTGAGTTCATGACTGAGACTTTTTCCTAGTCCTTGTAATCAGAAAGGCTGTCAAGTCTAACAACATGCATCCACATCAGTCTACACACATGCACGCTCATACATACACACCAAGAAATCGAATCACATGCATGCAGAAATATAAACACAAAGAAAGACAACTGTAATCAGAATAATTTAACAATGTAGTATTTTAAATAATATGCTCAAGGGGATTGGTGGAATGTACCAAACTGTGGAATGTACAGAACTCTTTCAATGAACCAAATTGTCCTCTGTACACAAAATGGCAATTGACAAAGAAAATGCATGTCTTTGCATCCCACTTTCTAAGTCTGGCTTAAAGTTCATCGCCCCTTCACTGTTTGAAAGGCTGTCTACGATCTGCATGCAGACAAACAACAATCTCCAGCTTCTCCTCCATTCAATGAAGTATTTATATTCACTCAGATATATGGACAGTACAGTGGAGTCCACTCAAACCAAACACATTTGCTCCGAAAACAGCAGTAAACTGAAAAAAAAAATAGAATCCCCATGCTATTTGTTCCCATTTTTTTTCTTTGCAATTTGTTCCCATTTTTTTCTTTTGCTATTTGTTCCCATTTTTTTTCTTTGCTATTTGTTCCCATTTTTTTTCCTTTGCTATTTGCACAAATCTCAAAACAGAAAACCTGACCAAACTGAAGACTATCCAGCAGGCCCGCATTATTCGATCTAAGGGGACTGGACTGTATTATGATAAGTTGAATAGTTCATCCACAGAATGAAGAAAACAGGCGCTTTGTTCAACAGGACAAAGGTACTGTTTTGAAAGCACTGTTAGTTAATATTATACCTTAAGACATCATAGAAGGAATTTTGAAATTCGTTCGTTCCTAATCAAACCTAAAAAAAGATTGCAGCCTTCATGTCCATAACGCATAACACAGTCTGTTTCACTACAACAAAAAAAAAGGTTGAAATATCCAGACCTCTGGGAGCTTTTCTACAGAAAATGGAATCTGCAATTCAAAAGTCAAGCCTTGTTCTAGAAGATGAAGATTGTGGTGATGGCAGGTCAGTTTTTTAAATTTTCTCATCCTGCAAAAAGAAATCACAGAAGGTCACTTCCAATTTTAAACTAGAGCCACACATATGAGGCAGGATTTCTGGAAACTTATGGGACTAAAAAAAAATAAACCCAAAACCCCTCATAAAAGTGGAATTCTTCTTTCAATCCAAAGTAAAAATCTTTCCAACAAGAAACTTGGATCCTTCTTTCATCTAGCAATGCTGAAATTATCCAGGAAAGTTCGCAGTTCTTGCAGTACCCAAGTCAAGTCCTAGAGATCACATGTGTCCTGTATCTCATGTCCCAGGAAACCACCGACACGTCTTCCCTTGCAGCGTACTCACAGGTGAGAGGATTCAAGAATTACAGGCTTGACTTCGGAGACAGTCGTAATATTGTTGTTGACATTGTTGTTTCCTGACATAATCGCCACTGCGGGAACTTCTGGACTTCTGCGTGCACCAGCGATGCCGTTTATCTCTGCAGTGGTGGTGAACATGTGAGAAGGAGAACCAGACATGACCTCTACGCTGGGTAGTGGGTTCGCATCCTGTGGCATGATGTCCACTGCCACCGGGTTATCGTAGGCGTGTCTGTGAATGGCTTGAGGGCGAGATTGATGCAACTGAAAAAAATAAAACAAAACAAAATACAGATTTCATTAACAGATAAGATAACAACACATTTCAGCTCTCCTCATCAAGAATCAATAGTGCACTTTTGAGATATCTTCTGAGCTACTTTCAATTAAAGTTTACAAAACTGTTTCAGTTGCAGATTTCAAACTAGCTTCTTTTAATTAAAAAAATCAAATAAGACAGTAAAAAAATACATGAACAGCTCTGGTGTAAAAGAAGAATTGATGAATCTGTTTTCACCAAATGAGATTGATAAACACATATTTAAGATACATTCATGTTAAGCAACAAATAATTTTATCATGGCGGCAGGAGGAAAGCCAATCAGCCGCCCCTTTTCTGGTTCGAGATGACATAGTTCTTACCACACAAAACCAGAACTATGCTTTACAGAAGTGTATAGAAGTAAGAGAGTATTATTCTTATAACATTTCTATACATGAAATAAGAAAACATAACACAAGACTGAGGATTTGCTATCCTTAGAATTGCTTATTTCAAGAGCATTATTATCTATCATTAAACTTAAAGGCTAAAAGATAAACAGAAAGCGATTCACAGTACATAAATATCATGGTCAAATTGTCAAAAATGTTCTGAAATAGATTCTAACTGGAAATAAAAAAGTATATTTCATACCTCATGAGGTCTACCTCAAATACAAAAACTATATTTTCAGATAAAGATAAGCATTTGAACTATGGTATATTTCACAGGTGTAATAAAACAAACATATAATAACAAAACAAGGATTGTTGTTGATTAGTATCCATATACACATACTTTCACCTAACAGTTACCAAAGAAGAAAATTGTCAATCCCTCTGCTAAGTAAGAGATCAACGACTAAAGATGTTAAAAAACTCTGCAAAAACAGAAGCACGACTGTAAAAAGTATTATTGTAAGTGCTAGAACCTGGAGTAATACGACAAAAAAGAGAAATGAACTAGGAGAAGAAAACTAGACAAAAATAGAAAACATTGCTAAATTAGGTCAGTGTGCAAAACAAACTTTACGCACACTGTACTACTACTGAGTATGATCAATAGAAACACATATCTGTAGAGACAAGTTTCTCTTAATTAAAAAACAAACTTTTTTCTCAAACCGTCAAAAGTGAAATTAAAGCAGTGTGCACAGCCAATTGATAATATCAACATCTAAACCAACTTAAAAGAATGAATTGCAAAATAATATATTATTGCTATGAGTGGTACTAAAAAATGTGTCCAACATTATTTAAAAAAAAAAAGTTCTTGAATTGTTGAGTCTGAAAAAATAATTAATATTACCTATTGCAGTGCAAACAAAATTGTGCCATGCTTGCTCATAAATTCAAACTCTAGATCTAGACAATACAATATTGGAAAGAAAAGGGAACTGTGTGAGCAGGTCAGGTGTGTGTATGTGTGGTTGGGGTGGGGGTGTGTGGGGGGGATAAGGGAGTTTAGCTGGGATGACTGCACATCAAACAATGACAAGAGTCCACACAATTCACCGGAAGGGGCGACCAACCTCGATCCAGCCAGTCCCCAGGTGAAAGATAAAAAAAATGCCTCGGGCGGAGGTTAGCTGCGAATATAATGAATACGGATGTGTCTTCCCGATATGAAAAAAACCCTGAACTTTTCACACCCTGTAGAAATGTGTACGAGGGGATTAAAAAATTATGCAGCACGTAGTCTAATAACATCTTGTATCGAGACAATTTTCTTATGAAGTTTCTGAATATTTGTACATTTAAAATCCATACAATGTAAAAAAAATTGGAAGTTTGGATTTTTCTGGAAAATTGACACCTCTGTAAATAAGATGTCCCTGATCAATGAGTGCAGACCTTCCAGTATGGGGTGGCAGGTAGCACCACCACACCTCTTAGATTCAGAACCAATGATGGCTTCATTTTGTGATATAGGACTGCGGACAGATATAAACTCTAACCCTTCCTTGGATGGGAGAACTATGGGTACAAATCCCCCCCCCTCCCTCCAGGCTCCCTGGGTAGATCTTTGGACGAAGAGCTGGAAAGCTGAAGACGGAGGTACAAAATGTTCTGGGTCTGCAGGCGAGTTGCAAAGAAGCCCGGTGCCAAACAAAAGCTATTATGACATTTGGAGACGGATAAAATTCTTGAAACATAACATACTTGTACTCAGACTTAATTAAAATTATGATAAACAATAAGAACCTGCAAGTTCAGATTTTGAAATCAAGCAACCCTACACATAATGCAGTGCTCATTCAAAGACAGTAAAGAGTGTTTTTTAAATTTTTAGCTTAAGTAAAGGGTTTGTGGCACTTGCGACACAAAAAGATGGTATAAGTGCCAAAGATTACGGGTGTCACGAGAGAGTAACATACAAAGAAAAGAAGGAGGAGAAAGGACAATAGCTGTTTTGACTAAATAGAAGGAACAAACAACAACAGAGTGCCCGCTAACCATCCACATATAGAGCACTCCCCAGTTTGAGAATATAACAACTTTTCTTTCAGAGTTCAATTCCTGCTCGGGGAAGTTATTTTACTGAGTTTGTCTGTGGGGATGCTTTATCCCACTAATGAAAGGTTGGTTCTGACAGGCAGAGTTGAAATTATCTACATGGTATCAATCTAAGGAGTGTAAAACATTTATCACTATGAATCATATCAACAAGCAAGAAAGTTATGTTTATGACGTTGTAGTGTTTAAAGTTTAAATGATTCTGCATGGTGTTCTAAAAAAGTTAAAGAATTTAACAAAGAAGTCGTCTAGGCAGCAGAAACATCCATCAATCACTAGATGACTGTCAAAAACAGTGTGTACTCTCCTACGGACAATTTCTTCATGTTTTGTACAAAAGACTCGCATGACTCTAACAATCTTAAGCAACAAAATGAAATATATTCAGGAACTGCAACCGCGGGGGAAAAAAAGGGAGAACAAAAATGAAACCTGGGCTCAGGGCGGGACAACTGAATCAAGAAGAGTACAGAGGCTCTCTCTGACAGACCTATTGTAGGGCAGGAAGACAAAATGAAAGAAGTCGTAAAAGGGGAGGGGGGAAAAATAACTTTAAAAAATTGTGAGTGAAGTAAAAACAGATAGTCTGGTTTGCTTCGGTTTTATAGAAGTTTTACGGCACTTGCAACACTTTACAAAAAGAGATAAACAGTGTAATACTTTATTTCAGACTGTGGAACAGAGGTGCATTATTTTGAGACCAATATTTCCAAGAAAGAACAGAAAAGATTCTTCTTTTGAAACTTGACTTTAAGTTTCAAAAAACATGACTTGCCTTCTGGAGCTGTTATTATCAAAGCAACAAAGACTATTAGCTATGAACCTCAAGACTTGAATATTCTTATTACACGCAATAATATCTATCAAAATCCAATGCAACTGACAATCTCTATCTTCTAAATTTTTGCTACAAATAAAACCATTGATATGTAATGGGTAAATCATTTCTTTAAAGTCAAGAACGGACAGATGTCGAAATCAAATCGAGGCAATTTCAAATGTAGCTCACAAAAGAACATTCTGATAGAGAAAGATTGAAAAATCTATATCAGGAAAATGCGTAAGGAGTTTTCAAGCCCAAGGGCATTTCTACCAATGAAATGAATAATTGTGGTAAACAATTTCCTATACGGAAACTCTTTTATCAAAACTGGTCTCTAAGAATAGTCAAAACTAGGACAACAACGTTGACAGATCACCCAAACCTGACCTAACGCAAATCTTGACGGCAAGCAATGGAAGAAGATTCAAAAGTGGAGGGATTGATTGGGATACGCTTGACAAAGTGTGGACAAAGTGGCTTTCAAAGATTTTGATGGGACAAAATTCTCGTGTCACAAGGGGAATAAACATAAAGAAAAGTCACATCGCTTCTCCAAGGGCGACAACTCACCCTCTGACTACGAGCTCTTTTGCCACATCTCCTCCATCAAGAGATGCCACTAAACATGACTATATATCTTATCTTCAAAGACCGTTTCATCCTCTTGAAAAAAATTCTTTCTATCCACTTATCTTTCCTGTCAATTTTTGGTAGCCCAAATGCTTTAAACCCCCACTGACAAAACTTCAGTCGTTTAGGAGGCAGGCTGTTGAGCTATCCTAGAACCTCCCACAGATATTGAGAAAAAGCGCAACTGAAAAGAAAGAGCATCAAAGAGGGTTCTAGGTAAGTAAGCATACCTTTCCCTTCTCATTTTCAAGTTTACAAAAAGTATTTAAGTAAAACATAGGAACAACACCAGGATGTCAGCACATGGAAAAAGTAGATGGAAAAAGTAGAAAGAAAAAGTGTCTCCAACTTTTACCTCCTAAATCAACCTCAGCTTTTGACCTTCATCAAGACTAAGAAACCATGAACAGTTTACTCTAAAATAAAGCAGAATCATTGCTGGAAAAAACAATTAATGAAAGCAATCAGCTGGACACAGTCAAAGTGAAAGACTGATTTTGTAACGAACCATTAAGCTTCCCATTCCTTTGAGACAATAATCAAAAGAACTCGGGAACAAACACACTTGCCTTCATTTATCTGAGATAAAGCTCTGGCGTTGACCAGATGACAAGGACATGTTGTTACTTAAGGGAGGCATTACGCTGCCAAGAGCGAAATGCTCGCAGCTAAAGGGATTTGAAAACAACAACAGTAACAACATCTGAGATAAAGAAAAGCGTACAGAACAACAGTCATTTAATGCTGGGAAACAGCAAAACATACAGTCAGAAACCAAACAGGAATGGAATAGTAGAACCGGAACACCCACCAAAAGTATCTTACAATCGTTAACCACCAAATAAGTCCGTCTTCTCCAGTAAGGAGCAGACAACAAAAGAAGAACGTGTGCACACAACTAATCGTAAAGACCAAGGCTAACATATAATATTTGGGTCATAATATTTCTCTCTCTTTCATCCCCTCTCCATTGTTCATTACCCTGTCTCTTACAGGAATAACTAAAAAGAAATGTTACGAAGTGGCATCCCCTGAGCGGGGAGGTGTTTGTCAAAAGAGCTCTTCGTCTCCATCAAAACCATTGTCCTGTCCATACATATGGCTCAGCATATTATGTTGAGACATGTAGGTGCCTGACCGAGATAGTCGAACAAGGACGTGACAGCAGCAGAGCTCCTAGAGTAGGGGAGTATATAGCAAGATGATGGTTGGTTGTTTGTTTGTTTGTTTGAGTATAGAGAAGCTCATTGACACAATAATAATGGTCATTTAGTGCTGGGGAAAAGTAAGACAGTCAGACAGAAACAACAGAGGGGAAGTTAAGAAGTAGGACCTACCAGTGGTGCCCTCCAACACCCGCTATAGCCAGATTAAAACAAAAACCAGCCAGTGGCATCTGTAGTAAAGATCACAGCACTGTCGTAGAGTAGTGCCACCAACATATTCTCATTTTTTCTTTTTTCTTTTTACTGGACTTTAATATTTGAGATATAATATTTAAACCTGAATCGGAAAAGTGAAGTAAAAAAATCTAAACAATTATCATAATAATGACTTACAAGAAATAAATTTCAATATATTTCTTCTTTACAACTGCCTTGGCATCAGCCCTTCCCGCCAAATACCAACAATGAATAAAGCACAATTACTGTACCCTTCTTCAGCCAAATTATACAAGAGAACAACAGACTTGCCATATTGTGTACAGCATGAAGTTATTTATTATCCTCCTGTTTCATTTTTTTTTGGGTGTGTATGCTTACAACTTGAGGTTTACATTTCTTACATACTAGAGAAGAGAAGTATACATCCAGATGATGTTTGTTTGAGTAAAGAGAAGTACATCGACAGTTAAAAATTTTTCTTCTTCCATTCATTTCTTCTGTTAACTAAACGACTAAACGCTCTTCCTTGACACAGACTTCAAGTAAATATTTTTGATTTGCTTGTGAAATGTCAGGTGGTAATTTGCTAACAGTATAATTTCGCAGAATCATTGTCTTGAGAGTAAGACTCTGGAGAAGTCTTCTAAGAAAACACTTGGAAAGGAGACTTGGTCAACAAACAGTGAACAAAACCACTGACTTGTATTTCCATACCCCTATCATATTTTTTTAATGCTTGAAAATATCACAATGCAGTTTATGTACAGACCAGCAGAAAAGCAGTTGCACCATCTGCCAAGCAGAAAAGAATGCCACAAAACTCCTTTGAGTATGTTTCAGTGTTGCACTACCTTGCAGTTGGAAAACATAACCACAATTAGAATTCTTTAAATCTTGCACAAGCGCAAGGCACTTTGAAACAGTACCCTCTTCCCTCCGCCCCCCCATTAAAAAAAAAGTTCTGTCACCCTAAAATACAGTTTAGACTGAACAATAAGAAAACACCACTTAAAACTGATTTATATATGTTGCTTTTCTTTAGAAAGACACACTGGACATTTTATAGACACCCCTTTAAAAAAGTATTAGACAGTTCATGATTCGGTGTTTACGTTAAACTGCAGCCTGGTATACGCCTAAAATAAAAAGTAAGCAAGCACATCTTTAAACCTTTTTCAGAGAAAACCTTGTAATATTTACACATACGACAAATTCTACAATACTTTTATATATATGAAATATGTACGCATTGATTTTTCTGCAATGTATTCCTGTATTGTTATGTTTTCAATGTATTGTTATAGATATAATGTATGCAATTTTTTTTCCCACTAATTAAAAAAAATGAATAACCTCAGACCAAAAAATGGTTGCGAGCATCTGGTTGTATACCGAAGCCCTGCAGGATAGACACAACACATTAGTAGCTGGGTACAAAAAGCAAAACCCATGACACCTGTTAGCATCCACTATCATGTCAAAATGAGGAAGAGACAGATTCCTGAAACACCAAAGTCGTGAAGGGAAAGAATATTATGTCATTAAAAAAAACAAAAAAAACAAAATAATACCAGCACTGTTAGTGTAATACATCAAAGGCCAGCTCTTCAGATGTACCAATCCCAAGATTTTGAAATTTGTTGTTGAACAGTCTCTGAATTTATGATATAGGTTACATGTGTTTGAAAAATATTTCTTTGCCATTAAAAATTTCAATATAAAAAAAAAAAAGAAAGAAAAGATACACAATGTAGGTAGGCTCCTATGTTAAAGTAATGATGAAACCATTTTTTCTCTCTCCTGGAAAATGTTGCTTTCTGGGCCTGGAACAGCTGAACAGCGTCCGACAACATAAAGATTAATGAAATGAAACATAATATGGACTCTTACTGCAATACTTCTTCAAACCCCTCTCCTCCTTTTGAGGATGTGAGGTCAACCTTACCAAACACCAACGTACCTTTGCATTAGCAAATGCACAAAAAATGAGGAGCGAGGTAAAAAAAAGAGATATATCTACTCTGGCACTCTACAAAATTTACTTATGTGCAGTAACAACAGCCTCATTTTACCACCAACAGCAAGAGAGCTGTAGCATTATCGCACAATTTTGGTCCCAAAGAGACAGATCGATTATGTGCTCATATCAGTGTGAAACAAAATTTTATGTTCATTGTATAATAAAATAGAGAACACTTAACTTGGGACCTCTAAAGAACAAATGGTGTATGAGAAAAATTCAACCTTTAGAAAAACAGAAAACACACTAGAATATTCATTCAAACTACATAAACAGAACGCTAACATCTGATGAACTGAACAACGTTCAAGAATTAGTCAAAGTAAAGAAAAAAAATACACCAACTAAAAAAACAACAGCAAACAGACCAGGGAATTTAACAAATCTGGCTAAACAGACAGAGAGACTTTAGAAAAACCAAATTCAACCAAACAAATGGAAAGACTTCAGAAAAACCAAGCCCCCATGAAGTGGGATAAAAAGGGTTAACAGAACAGAGCTGGTAGGGTTATTACAGAGAGAGAGAGAGAGAAAAGACAACCACACAGCACAACCTGGGAGGTCGTGACTCTCTAGCCTATGCACAGCAATGAGAAAACCACAGGCTGTTAAGAGTTAACACAGTCAGGTGCAATAGTACAGGTATGATGCAACCGAGGTAGAAGGGAGGAGAGAGGGGCCAACCTCGAACTGCTCTTCGTTGATCTTTCGTTTGAGGTCGTCCCCAGGACCAGCGGTCTCCTGGGATAGCGAATAAACGACCGGGGTGGGTGCCCTAGACTCCTATACGAATGGAATGATACAAAAGCAAAAAAGAGCTCGTGTAATGTATGAGTTAACGCAACCCCCCAGTGTTTGTTTCAGTAAGCATTTCACTGCACCTGCAACACAATTAGGTCATATAAGTGTTAAAGATTAGAGGTGTTACAAGAGAGCAACATAAGCAAAAAAGAAGGAGG